AACAAGATTAAGAGGGTGTTTGGTAGAGATTAAAATCGGATTAAAATTGAAAAACTAGCCGTTATTGTTGACTTTTATTAGATGAGTGGGACCCAATAACGGCTATATTTTCAATTTTAATTGGATTTTGAGCCGTACCAAATAGGCCCTAAGTCAGATAACTTTACCAGTCAGAAGGAGTTAAAATTAACATACCTTGGAGGTGAACAAGGCCTCCCTGGATCTTTGGACATCTCTCCAGGTCCAACTTTACCAAGTTGGTTAGGCCAGATAAGTAACGCATTCCTTGATCAGTAATCAAGTTATTCTTTCTAAAACTTATAGTTGTCAGGTTTGAAAGACCTGAAAGGTTCAACAATAATCACATGTATCAGCTACTGGTTTCAGGTTTCAATGACCTGAAAGTTGCTCTTTCTCTCATAGAAATACAAGCCATCCTAGAAAATTGTATATGCAATTATTTTTATTTATCATTTGAAAAGAAAATCTTCTAAATACAAATCTGCCTTAAATATTTATCCAGACACTACCACTAGCTCAGTAAATCATCTTTATCATTTGGGGATTTGATTTAAGAATGCGCATTTAAAAGCTTCTTTAGTGATACGTAGTTGGGGAAGAAAATTCTACCGCTGATCTGTTCCAGACCCCGGTCCGAAATTTGATCACAATAATTAAAATTCAAGGCTTGAAGATTTCTGCAATCTTTAAGATTAATCAATCCAGAATCAGTAACATCAGAATCCGAAAGATCCACGGATAGTAAAGATGAACCCTGTGAAGAGATGACGTCCATCCAACTGTCATTAAATCCTGGGTATTCTCCCAGATTAATATCCTGCAAAGAACAATAACAGATATGTCGTGAACTTATATGGCCTTCAAATATCCAAACCAATCCAAGAACCTACTCCACGTAGGCTTTTGAACAGTGTAAGAGATACCTGAAGAGCACAATCCCGAAAAGCTTCAAGTATATGATCAGATAGGCACTGGGAACAGACCAGATCATCAAAAATCTGTTGACTTATATCCCTTGGTAACATAGAGAAGGTTCTATATTTGTTTATGTCCTTCGATGATAAAAAAAAAAAATTCCCATCAACACAACAAGTAATTCTTAATTTTCCTGCAGAAAAAGAGGTATTAAGAAAAGCATGTATGCAAACTAACAACATACTTCCCGAATCCTATAAATGCATAATTCCATAAGAGACGGACAACTCCCTATCCCCTGACTAATGTCCGTAGATGCTCTAGAAAATGAAGTTCTTAGCCATTTTGAGCTCCCACTTTTAAAATATCTTCCAGAGACTCCTCTGTGTAGGTCATCCTCGTTGTCCCGTTGGTCCTGCTTCCTGGAACAAGCTCCCCCCATTCAAGACTATATAGTAATTTATGAGGATCGACAATGCAGATAAGTAGTGGAGTGATTCATTAATGACCAATGTCAGATACAATCTGTCAACTGTACCCTGCAAAAGAAAACAATCCGATCTAGCAGCCATTAGACATGAAATTCTAAATTATTAATTGGACCTTTATGCACTCGAATTAGGACTATCCACCAGGACTTCTAATAAAGCGCGCCATAACATTACTTTATCAAACTCATGCACAAGGGAATCAATACAAGAGGTACACATGTCACTGCTCACAATTAATGTCACATGCTTAATAATGTCAGCACCGCCCCATCATAATATTACTTAATCAAAAGGGAATAAATACAATACGTACACGTGGTGGCACTAAAAAATTATTTTGCACACTCGATACCGTCGACCATGGAAAAGGATTAATACTGTCGACCATGGAAAATGATCATATAAAAACCAAAAGAAATATATAGAGCATTACAGCTACTATTTGAGCTCATATGCATGCCAATATCAATCACGAGTTCACAACGCACGTAATTATGTGTTCAGATTTACTAGCGAAACTAAGCAAAAACACAATTTTGAATTTGAGACATCATGGAAAAACTTTGCACGCTGTGTGGGACAAGATGGTAAAAATCACAATCGAGTGCAAGCATAAATTTGCAACTTTTACATCACTCTGAATTTTTTTCATTGCAAGGTTATTAATCCCTGGCGGTCGGGCCTATACAAACTAAGCGTGGTACATACCTATTGTTAGAGAAGCCTTTATTCGTGACTCCACATTCAAACAATTGAAAATCAAGACAGTTCTAATACGATAAACTGATGAAATCTTTTACTACTGTAAACAAGCTATATACTGGGAAACTAGATTCCCGAAGTGAACACACACACACACACACACACACACACACATATATATATATATATCCTAATTAGCTTTCAAAAAATCTCCATAATCTCAAACCCAATAGTAACTAATACTTTCCATAAATTGAACTCAATATTTTTTTTTTCACTCCCCATAATTAACAATCCCGTAAAATTACGCAATATAGTAGAATTCATAGTCAGTCCATGACCCCTTGTTTTATTTTCTTCAAACAATGATTCTTTCATATATCAAAACATCATGAAGAGCAGAAAAAATTACTTTTTCAATATGTCAAGCTGCCAACAAGGATTTAAAACAGAAAAGGAACAAAAATCGCACCTCAATTCTACGATCATCTGAACAGTCACGTATATAAAAATATGCAAGTGTACATAAAAATTGGGGAGAGAGAGAGAGAGTGTGTTTGTAGAGGTAGGAGAAGATAAATAGAAGAAGCCCACCGCAATTCATCCAAGTCAGAATCCGAGCCAACGTGTAGTGGCCGTGTGTTAGAAAAACAGGTTCGGAGTTTGGCTGCTTTGGAAAAATGATGAGGAAATGAGGGAGCGCCCGAAGTTTTCTGTGTGTGGGTCCAGCTTTTTTTTAATTCGGAAATTTTTCACTAGAAGTCAACCAACTTACAATTTTGTTTTGTGTTGGTCATCGAATTTTAATTTGCATCAAATCAATTACTGAACTTATATCATTGTTTTAATTTGACTGTTCGACTGTAATGTAATCAAAACTAACATAATTCGTGATTCGGCTGACAAAATATATTAAATCTTTGCTTGGTTTAATAAAAAATCAAATTTTTAGTATATTTTGAAAAAAATTAATGAAATATTTTGTTGAAAATGGATAAAAATTGTAGATTCCATAAAATATGTAGTTGAAAATAGTTTTGAAGAAAAATGAACTTCAAAAATGAGGTCAAACGAGAACTAGATGGTCTTAGACCATGTTAGAAACCCGTTTTTATCCAAAATTTCTTTTTTCTACAGTATTGCCCAGTACCTTTTCTGTCAATTTTCATCAGAATTTGTCCCCTAAGCCCCTGCGAGAAGTGACCTATTCTGTCCATGTCAATTCTTTTTTCCAAAAGTGCCCTTCAAAGTTGGTGAAAAGGATGAGAGGGTTTGTGGGAAATTTCAATCACAATTTGAGGGCAAAACTGGAAACAAGTTTCAACGGGAATAATGCGTTAATTGGAATTCTGACACATTTTGATGAATTTGGTGAGTTTTGTCTGAGGAAACTGTAGAAAAATGAGTTTTTCATCCAAAAAACGGGTGTTAAAGAAGATTCCAACTAATTATCACACGTTTAACATCACAAATATATTTATTTGAAAAAATAATGATATTCAACACCGCTGATGTCAAGTGCTAATATATGTGGCAACAATGTGACATTAATGATAAATTCACTTAAATGTAGCATCACATTATTCATTTTAATTGAATATATCAACTGTGACAACGTAAATTTGAACTAGTTGTCATTATTCTATTTGAAAAGATGGTCCATGCAACATCATTTTTATGGTTAGATTCTAATTGGTTTGGTTAGGTTATTGTTAGTACCTAATCTCGGTGTTTCAAAACCAAACATTGTGATTTTGATTCGTTGGGACTTTATATATATATATATATATATAGTCGATTCAATAATTATCTTTCTTATATGCGAATTTTTCAATTTATTATTACATAACAGTTTAGGTTTGGACCTTTTTTTATAGTAGTTTAGTTTTTAGTTTCCATGGGTACATAGATGATAGATCTAGCTCGGCCTATGTTGTTTTCTTTCTTTCTTTCTCTTAATTTTTCTCGTGTAAACTTCTCATTATTATTATTTTCTTAAACTAGAGAACTCACTCTTTTAAAGAAAAAAAATATGAAAAAAGCATTAATCGTAAAAAATATAAATTGTCGTGAAGTTCGTCGGTTTAAGCAACGAATCCTGTTTGTTTTGGTAGTAGTTATAAACAGAATAGTCGACTTGAAATAAAAACATAAGTCGAATGACTAAAATGAAATAAATTGAACTCAGTGACCAAAGTGAAATAGAATTGTAAGTCGTGTGACCTTGTTTGAAATCCTCCATTTTAATCATGCTTGCGCTTATCAATTTTGTGGGTCCACGATTGGAAGATTTGTACGCAACGTATTAGCAATTTGCTATTAGAGGTTTGGGTCGGCTTGAGTTTAATTATTGCGGTAATAACAAGGGCGATTGATTGAGAGAAGAGAAAAGAAAAATTAAAAATTCTAAATTAATTGTCAATTGGAATCAAAGGTTAAGCATCCTTAACCACCAACAAAACTAAAATATAATTTTTAATCACACATTTTTTAATAAAATTATATTACACGCAAATTCAAAAATTTTCTTTATTTTTTAATCACACGTTTTTCATCAATTTACTGTTCTGAAATACGTTCTTAAAATAAAACGGGGTTCGAACAAGTTCTCATTTTTTTCTGATCCAAACTTGATATTCATAGCGTGTTCGGTAGAGATTAAAATTGAAAAACTAGTCGTTATTGTTGACGTTTATTAGATGAGTGAGACCAAATAACAACCATATTTTCAATTAAAATTGGATTTTAATCTTGGGCTAACATGCTGTCAATACTCCCTCATTAAACTCGGGTCTCGATGATCCTATCTCGATCGACCCATTTTCAAAACAGTTTTGTGTTGTTTTTGTTAAATATGTATGCTTGATCCAGATAGAACAATTTTTTTTAGCAAATCAATTGAAAAGGAAGAAATTGATGTCGACTTTTGTTGTAGCCCTATCTAAGTTGTATATTAGATACCTTATACGTGTATGCATCTTGACCTACTCGATTTAGAGTATTCTGTCATAATTTAGTAGGATTAATTTGAAAAAAAAGTGTGGAGTGCTTTAACTCAGTCCCCATTTCTTTTTATTTTGTGTATCAAATTGAAATTAATCTATATTTTTCTTATTTTCAAACATGCAACAATTAATGATAGTTTTAGCAGGTCAATTATTTGTGAAAAAGTGTTTCAAGAATTACCGATCAATTGTCTTTTGTGGCACTTAAGTCTCCAAGTAATGTAATGCATAATAAATTGTTATCTCAATACAATATTATACACAAAAAATATATATATTAAAAATAAATTTCTACATGTACTCCAAATATATTTCTTTTTCTCTCTTATTTTCAACCATACAGTCAAATATTTAAAAAAAAAATCTTATTTTTTAACCACATATTCTATATCAAATTACTATTTCAAAATACTCTATTTTTTGAGAACAAACTGAGCTAAAATACACTCTGCATATATTTTTTGGACCATGCTAGTGGTATATCAAGCTTTACATCAGGGGTTACACCCCCCTCACACGGGGGTGGGGTCCACTCGAATAAAAAAAATATTATTTCAGTGGATCCCACCCCCCATGTGAGGGGGGTGTAACCCTTGATGTACACCACTTGATGTACAAGTGGTATAACCCATATTTTTTTTCCTTAAGAGACGTATTAAAGGAGGTGACGAACGTCGAAGCTCGATGACGGTGATGGTGATGAAAATTGAAGGAGCTCGATGATGGAAGATATTGAGATTTTTCATGTCGTCTAAGAAGATATTTTTATTTTATTTCTTTTTCTAATATTTTTCAATTGTTTTAGTTAAATTGATTAAAGAATTTACTTAAAAGAGTAAATTATAATTTTTTATTTCACGCGCTCGTTTTAATTGCACTTAACGAGCTCANTGATCCAGATAGAACAATTTTTTTTTTTTTTGCAAATCAATTGAAAAGGAAGAAATTGATGTCGACTTTTGTTGTAGCCCTATCTAAGTTGTATATTAGATACCTTATACGTGTATGCATCTTGACCTACTCGATTTAGAGTATTCTGTCATAATTTAGTAGGATTAATTTGAAAAAAAAGTGTGGAGTGCTTTAACTCAGTCCCCATTTCTTTTTATTTTGTGTATCAAATTGAAATTAATCTATATTTTTCTTATTTTCAAACATGCAACAATTAATGATAGTTTTAGCAGGTCAATTATTTGTGAAAAAGTGTTTCAAGAATTACCGATCAATTGTCTTTTGTGGCACTTAAGTCTCCAAGTAATGTAATGCATAATAAATTGTTATCTCAATACAATATTATACACAAAAAATATATATATTAAAAATAAATTTCTACATGTACTCCAAATATATTTCTTTTTCTCTCTTATTTTCAACCATACAGTCAAATATTTAAAAAAAAAATCTTATTTTTTAACCACATATTCTATATCAAATTACTATTTCAAAATACTCTATTTTTTGAGAACAAACTGAGCTAAAATACACTCTGCATATATTTTTTGGACCATGCTAGTGGTATATCAAGCTTTACATCAGGGGTTACACCCCCCTCACACGGGGGTGGGGTCCACTCGAATAAAAAAAATATTATTTCAGTGGATCCCACCCCCCATGTGAGGGGGGTGTAACCCTTGATGTACACCACTTGATGTACAAGTGGTATAACCCATATTTTTTTTCCTTAAGAGACGTATTAAAGGAGGTGACGAACGTCGAAGCTCGATGACGGTGATGGTGATGAAAATTGAAGGAGCTCGATGATGGAAGATATTGAGATTTTTCATGTCGTCTAAGAAGATATTTTTATTTTATTTCTTTTTCTAATATTTTTCAATTGTTTTAGTTAAATTGATTAAAGAATTTACTTAAAAGAGTAAATTATAATTTTTTATTTCACGCGCTCGTTTTAATTGCACTTAACGAGCTCAATCTTTTCTCACGGTAAAACTTATGTGTTTTAACCTTTTTCTCAAATTTTTATTTTTAACTTTCTATTAATTAGCACAACTCATCCTTCGTAACAATAAATTTCCTTATTTCCTATTTACATATTTTGAAATAAGTGAAAAATATTCAATCGCACTTTCACATTTACTTGCCTTTTAAATTCTTTTACTTCATTTCAACGAATTTTTTGAATGGAATTATTAAAATCGAGATATACTTTGACATATTAAAAGACGAAAATGGAAATTTACCCCATTTATAAATACTTGGAGAAAAAAAAAATCTAAAATAAAAGAAAAATAAAATTCTTCCTCCCATCGTGTGACTTGTGAGCTTCCCCAATTATAAAATATCATTCCATAATACGTAAGCCCCTATCGTCTCTCTCTACTCTACCCACTCCCGCTAGGAAAAAATCTGAACCACCGTTGGCTGCCGACGATGGCTTCAATGTCTATGGACATGGCCACAGCTTTCTTAGGACTGGCCAAGCGCCACCCATCTCCATTTTCCACTTTCCGCACTACACTCTTCTGCAAAAACAAGCCAAATATTACCAATTTTCATATGCGCACTTGCTTAATTACCACAGTTACCGCAGCCAATTCAGTTCATTCAAGAATCTCTTACTCGTTAAAACACCCAAGAAAAAGCTTTTCGCGTAGATTCACTGTTTCTTCTGCCACCACATCCGTTCCCCAAACTGAGGATTCCGATGTTCTCACGAAAATCCCTCCCGATGATAGAATCCCGGCTACTATTATTACCGGTTTCTTGGGTTCCGGAAAGGTATTTGTTTTGTACTGAGATAGTTTCTATAATTTGTATTGTACAACTGACAAACTGCTATTTTAATTTTGTGCTGAAAGTGTTATCTTTACCGAGTGACGAGTCTGTTAACTTCAATTGGTTTTGTGGTAACAATTTTTCAATTAGCCTTTTCTAATCAATGTTTGCAGTAGTTTCAAATGATTTTTTCTGTTGTTAATATTCATTCTGGCTTAACAATACATGGGTTCTGTGTAATGTTAGACTACAACGTGCAGGACAAGATTTCATAGGGGATTGTTGCACTAAATTTTTTGGGAAGACGTTTGTTTTTCTTTTGACTGGATTAACTTAAATGAATGAAGTTGCAGACATTGTCCTATCTTTTTCGAAATTGGTTTTGTAATTCTAATTCAGTGGATTTGGCTGTAATGGTTCATGCTCTTATGTCAGGGCTGTGTTTTGGAGATTTTATTTTTCATTTTGGTTTTTGGATTCGCTGTAGGCTATAGTTCCATTAAGAGGTAGATCTTCGAATAGGTATTCCCTTAAGAACCTTATCCATTGAAAGACTGTAGT